AGATTTTCGGTATTCTTGTATATAAGACCGCCAAGAACTGACGGCAACAATGTAATTGAATTGCAGACAGAGATAGAGACGGACAGTTGGGTCGAGCACGTGAGTCGTTCGTTGTGAATTATAGCGTTTGTTATAGCGTGACTGTGGAAATGAAGTGTATTGCAAAGTTGTATTGAGAAAGAATAAACCAGTTTTATTTAAGAAAGGAATTGTATCGCTAAAGTTTCTTCGGAAAGAATTTTGACGGAAAATTAACTAACGACCAGAGACGTAACAATATGAACTCACACAAATTCAATATAAACAAAAATTAGCATCATCATAAATACTTCTGCGTAGAAATAAGTTAACAAATGCCTATTTTTAGTTTTTCTTTTTGCATTTTATTTTTGTTCTGTCTTTCAATTATGTAACTGTATATGCATATGCATGCAAGTAAATTCTTTTATACTGTTATTACCTATTTATATTATCAAGCCTGAGTGATTTGCGGAATATATTTGAGCAAATGTTTATTGTTTATGAACGTTCAAAGTGAAATGGTGTTTTCGTAGGAATATCTTCAAAATCTCAATAGGGTGTGAGCCCCTGATTTATCCTGAATACAATAAGAGAAGAGGATGTAATTGAAGTTTTTGAAACGACAGATCTTTTTTTTTTCTAACAGAGTGATTAGCTTATGGAATGAGATACCATTCATTGGCATAATGGAAACTGGCACTTTATAGAACATTTAGAGGGGAATGGAAGAATTCCTGAATATAAAAGGTGGATTTAAATTTCCTTTTTTCTCAGAGGTGGGTGAACAGTGACAGCCTTGACGAATCAACTATTGTCTGTTTATCTGTAATGATAATTTATATCCTATAAACTCTCAGAATCTGAGAATGATTTATAGACGCCAAGCACTCTTACGTTGAGGGGTGTGTATATACTTTAAGCCCTCTGAAGTTGAGGACGGAATAATAAATAATGTGATAATTATTCTTTTCTTCTGTGTCACATACGCAGTTAAGGTAATTACAACTTGATAACAAAAATAGCACACTACATCTTGAGTTGTAGAAGCTGTTTAAAATGGCGACTATACAAAATAAAGCAGCACACGTGTGTTCTTAGAATAATGTGAGGGACAAGTAGTATGGATTTTAAATGTTCCATCACAAAAATATATTTAGAGTATTCTATAGTGGGCTCATCATTTCTATCAAATAAATCACATTGCTTCATGTAACATTTTTTCAACTCAAAAGAAGACTTTTTTTATTTGTTTTTATACCGATAGGGTATCACAAAATGAAAACAGCGGTGGTTTTTGTTACTGATTAGCAAGCGTCAACACGAGAATACTACTTTGTATCTAAACGCAAAACTGTTGGTGTTGCTTATCGAGTTATGTAAATCTGAAATTGTTCATGTTATTATCCTGATGTTGCTTGTTTTCATGTAAAGCATTTGTATTTCTAATAAAGCTACTAAAGCTATCTACCGCCATCCCTAATTTCAAACTACTGACCAGAAGGAAAACAGCCTGTCAGCCGTACCCTACAATCAGTCATCCTCGCTAAGGGATTGATTGTCACTCTTATAATGTACACACAGCTTACAATGCGGGAAACGTTTTGTGGTATCGCGCGGATTCGAATCCGGCTCACTAGCCCCGCAGTCCAGATTTTTAACACAGGATCAATCCGCGCCCTAAGTCGTAAAGTACCAATCTAAAGTTAATGTGATGAGGCTTCAAATATGTATTGCATTCGATTTTTCGAAGTAATTACACTTTACTAGCTATTAATAACTTTTAATCGGTATTCATAACATTAACATAATGATAGTACAGCCAAGATTGAAGTCGATCAAACAGTAATATAATTAACTGCTTAGTAGAAATATAAGATTATGAAATAAATGTATGAAATAAATCTTACTAAATAGAAATATACGTTTGTATACATTTATATATGTATACATATAAATTTCCAAAAAAAGCAGAACAAATCGTAAACTATTAAACCGACTAAGTTCATGCATTAAAATGTCACATACATTTGAAAAAGAATGTGTTCATTTGTATGTAAACGCGTTTTGTGTTATGTGGAAAAGAATATGCACGCGCAACGTTATTATTTCTAAAGAGCAACCAAACCGAAATATTCAAAATATTTTAATTAAAATCTAAAACTGGGTCCGATATTAGCTTCAGAACGCGTATTCGCCGATATTTTATTTTTAAAAATCAGAATGCATACTTACTACTTAAGCATAACGCTGCCAAAGATTTATTTATAACGACATTTATTCTCATGTAAAGTCATAAAATTGTTATCATAAATTCAATAGTCAGTCTATGCGAAAACCTTAACTATTAAGCCATGCATGTTTCTGTCATTATCTGAACTTTAAACAAATATCAAGATATATAAGTTCTAGCTACGTTTGTGATGACAGTGTTCAAGTTCGTATTACTCACATACACACTCTTATTTGAATGATGAAGTACCTAATTTTTATAAATTTATAACGTAATTTAATCTTTCGTGGAAAAAAAATTATATGAATCTTGGATATGAATTACATGTGCCAGTTTAGATATAACTGCTAACGTAAATCTGCGTCAGGAGATCTTTATTTTACACTGTCCAAAGTGAAACATTATTCACAATCTTAAACATATTTACCAAGTGTGTTATTCCAGGTTAAGGAATCTTTAGCACACTGGTAAGCTATACCCTCGCAACTCACACTGAAGATGTTTTTCCCTATCAAAGTCTGCCATCAGACTTGAAAAGTAGCGTTGCATCTAATATACTAATCAATCATGTGACATGTACCAGTCTTACAGGAACATAGTAGCTACACACTAGCTAAATATAAAGCACCAAGATGAAAATAGCCTATGTATAACAGAAACCATCTAAATCAGCATCTGCTGTAGAGATTAATTATCTAAAGCCATATTCTTCGCGCAATCACAGACCGATTTCCTAGTTTGTATATTAAACTAATAGTCACAGAAGGATGAAGTATGCGATATTCGCAAATAAATAAATGTATAGTATTTTTGAGATTATTTTCCGCACATAATTAATTCGCGAGATAAGGTAAATGTATTATTTTAGAAATGATTAAAAAAGGTTTAGAATGAAAGGTAAATTTTAATGATGTTCTAATAACATATTAAAATATGTTACAGGACTCCGTTACACTTTGTACTCTGGGTGTCGGAACTGCTTTTGGCGAGGACATTCTTGACAACAGACCACATAGAGCAACTGTTGTAACGAATGAACGTTGTGAATTATTACGTATTGAACAAAAGGACTTTCTACAGCTATGGGAGGTAAAGTGAATGAAATTTTGAATTGCTTTCAGAAAAAAAAGTGAATACAATTCTTATTTCTTTTAAAAAACTTTAATAATAACTTTAATTTCAAAAAATAGTGTTTTATTAGAGTCAACAGTGTTGTAAATAACTTAATCTTTAATGTTAATATTTTCTTCAACAAAACTGAGAGGTTAAACTTGAGGTTATTAGGTCATCAAGAAATTAATGTCGTCTTTTTTTTAGACGTAAAAATCCGAAGAACTTGTATATCAAAACAAAATATTTATTAAATGAGATAGTCTCCATTCTTATCGATGATGCTTTTCCATCTTATAATCGGGTTGTTACTGCCCTGATTAAAGAAATCACTTGGCTTTGAAGGAAAAACAATATGTCGATGTCCTCTTTAACACCTTCCACATTTGCATACGTTTTCCAATTAAGATGGGGTCGCAGCGAACGGAAAAGATGGTAAACTGATGGTGCCAACCCAACTCCATAATC